ACTACTAGTAACAATAAGTGGGAAGAGCGAGTGAAGAAGTGACTATACGAAGAAGTGTGGAAGAGTACAAACTTGTCATAATGGTGTCAGGGAGCTAAGATTGTTTCGGGTACACTGAAGGGTGAACTGCAGGGCTTTACGAAAAATAGTAGGGATGCCCTTTGCTCCTAGTAGCGTCCTTGTTCCTACATGACACAATTAAGCTTTCCGGAAAGCTCAGCGAATCACAAGGCACATTACTTGACCACAGCAGAAACCACAGCACACTGCTTCATCACTTCATCACTGCACATCACCCCAACATCTGCAGCCGGAAGCAAAGAGGCCAACTAAGTTGTTACTAGTAGCTTCTTGTTACTACTAGTAAGGCACTTGTTACTAGTAGCGAGGCACTTGTTACTAGTAGTGATGAAAAGCCCACATGAGGCAAAGCAGCTTAGCAACTGGCTTTGCAAGCAAACGACGCTCACGTTCGCTGGTATCTTGCTGCGCGGTCGTCAAAAACATAGCATGCACGATAGCATATCAGCAGTGGGTAACAAACACTATACTATATACAAGGATGAATTCACAGCTCGTTTCAGAAAGTGTTTGAGAAACCAGCCTCTCTCTGCACATTGTCTATGCCGGGAATTCGCCGATTTTTCTGTGGAGGATATGCCTTGGTCCACAAACATTGGCACGCAAAAAGGATCAACCAGGTAAAGCGTCGTCTCTTTAAACGTTTTGACATGTTTTGACTGTGGCCGTTCAACATTGTGACCAAGTGGCCTTTGCACCACCAAATTGGCGAAGAAGGTAAGGGATCGACACGTTGCGGCTGAGCAAGACACCCCTGAGTCACACGTCTAACTCTTCACACGTCTCTTCCTTCTAACTTCACACGTCTACTAGCGATGGCCTCCAACCTAGTAGCATCCTTGCTCCTAGTAGCGATGCCCTTTGTTCCTAGTAGCGAACATTGCTCCTAGTAGCAAGGCCAGGAGCCCCTAGTAGCGTCCTTTGTTCCTAGTAGCGATGCACTTGTTACTAGTAGTGGCCTCCAACCTACTAGCCTTCGATTTTGGTGACTGCAGTTACTAGTAGCGATGCACTTGTTACTAGTAGCTTCTTGTTACTACTAGTAAGGCACTTGTTACTAGTAGCGATGCACTTGCAATTAGACGTGATGAGTTCCAACTCTGGCAGTTCGCTCTTGTATGTGCTCTTGAGAAGGCGTTCCAAACCCGGCGGGCAGGCGAGCTGGTAGTGCCCTGCAGAAAGCAAAGGCGGGACGAAAAACATGAAAATATAACGCTTGAGCAGCGGAACAAATGACCTGTGTAGCCAAATACCTTTTGACATGAATATCGTTTTTGGCGGGGTCTATATTGTTTTCCAATCTTTCTTCAAACCATATTTGGCATACAGGCGCTGTTAGGTTGGAGGTCATCGCTCTTAGGTTGGAGGCCATCGCTATTAGGTTGGAGGCTATTTAGCAGACAGGCTCAAAGACTAAAACACAAAAAACAACTCGCAACACATACGGACCTAGGAGCTCGGCCCATGCACAAACACTAGTAATGTGAAGAAGTAGGTTTATGGATTGCCTGGCATTACATTTAGGTTATGGTTTGTTAATGGTTTGGTTTATCTTTTGGGAAGTTGTCTTTTTGAGAAAAATCTTCCCAAAAAGAATCCTTTCAGGTCTTTTGACTGAATGCAACTGGTTTAAGGCAAGGCGAATCATTGATGAAAAGCTCTGTCCATCGGTTTAGCTCAAATTAACATGCAAATGCGACAAAACATTGTAACAACAAACGTGGAGCCACAAAAGCCACAGAAGCCAAAAGCCACCAAAGCCACCTAAGCCACCTATCCACCAAAAAGAATATCAAAATTCCAACTAAAAAAATTGAAAAAAAGATCCCTTAAAATCACCCTCCTTTTAGACCTGTTTTTCCTTTCTCCTTTCAAGATATTCAAGAATGCGCGGCATTTGTACGTACTTCGATTTGTTGCGCGTAGCGTACACTGGTCCATTCTGCCCTTCACTCTGTCCAATCTTCCGGAGATTTCCAATCTGTCCTGTCCCTTTCGAAAACCTGGAAATCAGTTCAGGTTCACTCGGATTAACTCGGGATTCTGGACTATTCGAGAAAGTAGAACTTCACAGCGTTCATTCAATTAAATTAAGTTCATTGAATGTGAAGTTCAAACAGTTCATGTTTGTGACATCGAACTGGAGACACGAAGCGACTGGCCGTGCAAAGACCTTTTAAAATGCATAATTGATGCATGTGTCAGATCCTTGACCAAAAATGATCACAGACATTTACCGAAGCATAAAAGTGATCAAAACGCAGTGGTGGCCTCCAACCTACTAGTAACAAGTGCATCGCTTCTAGTAACAAGTGCCTTACTAGTAGTAACAAGAAGCTAGTAGGAGTGCCTTACTAGTAGTAACAAGAAGCTAGTAGGAACAAGTGCCTTACTAGTAGTAACAAGAAGCTACTAGTAACAAGTGCCTCACTAGCCACCAAACAGCGGACTATTTTAACCCTGAAAGCTTTCGAATTCTCGTCGGGCCTTGGAAGTGAAGGATGCGAAGGCCTCGTCCAAATTCTCGGAAGACACTGCAAGCCTCGGATGTTGGGCGATGGGAGACGCGAAGCGATGCACTTGTTACGTTCGTAGCGTCCTTGTTACTACTAGTAAGGCACTTGTTACTAGAAGCGATGCACTTGTTACTGGGCGATGGGAGACGCCTTGAACTACATAGAATTACTTTACTTCGAGTGCTTGCTGTAACTTGCTGGCGAGGAGGAGAGAAGAGGAAAAAAGCTCTGATAAAATCTAACAACCGTAAAAAGTGCCTCGCTTCTAGTAACGTGTGCCTTACTAGTAGTAACAAGGACGCTACTAGGAACAAGTGCATCGCTACTAGGAACAAGTGCCTTACTACTAGTAACAAGAAGCTATAAAAAACAAGTGCACCCGGAAAAAGTTGGGACACGGACTTTGACAGTGTCTCCATTCGTCGAAACCAGAACAAACGTTGTCTCTTCACTTTCGATCTCCTGGCCATCTCTATGGCCTCCCAGGCGATGCATGATGCGCATGAAACAGAAAGTTCTTCATTTTTAGTTACTAATATAGCTTCTTGTTACTAGTAGTATGGCCAGGAGCCCCTAGTAGCGTCCTTGCTCCTAGTAGCGATGCCCTTTGTTCGTTCGTAGCTTCTTGTTACTAGTAGCAATAGCCTCCAACCTAAGAGCGATGGCCTCCAACCTAATAGCTGATGCGACTTGCAATCCAACACTTCAGTGAAGTCACTTCAGTCTGACTCAATTCTGCCAAAACGGCAAGTGCCTCTCAAAGCTCTATGCTGGAACTGCTATGCTCCGTCAAAGCTCTATGCTGCTCGGTGCAAGACCTTTTGCGCTGCTTGCTGCTTGTTGCCTTCGTCTTGTGCGCATCGACTGCCACGCTGCTTTGAGCGTGCTCTCCCTTGGCTCGCCCTCTCACTTCTGACTCAACACCTGAGGTCAGGTTAAATACGGCTTACGATATTAGGTGGGAGGCCATCGCTACTAGGAGCAAGGACGCTACTAGGGGCTCCTGGCCTTACTACTAGGAGCAATGTTCGCTACTAGGAGCAAAGGGCATCGCTACTAGGGGGTTGAATCGGGTTGACCGTTGAACTCATGTTAATTTAAAAGAAAACACGTCAGGTTAGCAGCGCCGATGTTACAAAACGTGGGTACAAGGAGTCGAGTCGAGTGCCGATGCAAGACGGAGCGCAGCGCTCCACGTGCCTGTGAAATCTGGGCTTTGAAATGCCGGTGCAAATTGGAATTCGTAAAGAGAAGTTGTCCACCAGGTAGCATCAAGTTCTGCCAGTGAACAGCAGAACTTGTTCCACAACTGAACAGCATCAAGCTCGTGTGCCATGCCCCACCAGGATGGTAAAGATTTCATCGGGTCTTGAGGAGACTTCCTCCACCATGTTGCCAGCCTGCCAACAAAAAGTGCTGCCCGGCTCCACGCTCTTTCACAAGCGATCCGTTTCCGAATTTCTGGAGTTCACGAACATGTCTGAAAAAAGCTGCATTGACACAGATTGCTTGCATCTTGCCTTCCGAAAATGGTCGCTCAACTGCGCAGGGGTGAAGAGATAGTGACCAGGTGCAACTCAAAAAAGCTGCATTGCTACCAATGTCTCAGGAACAAGGGAATCGTCTTGTATTGGCGCACCTCATGAACAAATAACGTCAGAAAGTTTGATGCCAACAAGGGGTTGTCCAAGGGCTCGCAAATCAAGGTGTATACCACCTGCAGTCGATGACAAGCTTTTGCTTCGAATAACTTGGGTGTGCGAGCACTACGTGCTTAAACTTTCCATCTAGGGTGGAGGCCATCGCTTGTAGGTTGGAGGCCATTGCTATTAGACGCTATTAGGTTTCTGTGTTTATCTTTCTTTTCTGATTTGTATTTCCTAGGGAAGTGAAAGGAACGACCATTCTGCCAACATCTGGAAGAGCAAGCGGCCCGCCTTGTCAACGTGTTTCCAGACCACAAGTTTGGGATATTCAAAGAGCGTGGACGCCTTCAACGCTCAAGAAGACCACAGCAAGGACCTATCACATGCAACATCCAACCTGTAGACGTAAGATGCCCTCAGTGTAGTCAAAACCAGCTTGTGCTTTGAATGCAGCCTCTCGAAAAGAAGCGCAAGTGTACAATCTCGCAGTTGATGCACAAATTCCTCGAAACCTGTTGTTGAGCTTGGCAAACAAATCATCTGTAAATTGTAGTGAACTGGACCATGACGTGAATGAATTTTGAATAAGTTGAATGAACCCTCCCCTCCTAGGAACAAGGACGCTACTACGAGCAAAGGGCATCGCTACGAATGGAGCAAGGACGGAGGGGCTCCTGGCCTTACTACTAGTAACAAGAAACTATTAGCTTATTGGCTTATTGTTTCTACTAGCTTCTTGTTACTACTAGTAAGGCACTTGTTACTAGTAGCGATGCACTTGTTATTAGTAGCGATGCACTTGTTACTACTAGTAACCATCACTCTCTGCGGACTGTCATCGGGAAACGATGTCCGCGTTGTGCAAGACACCCTGATCTTTGCACAGAAAAGGTGAACCAAAAGCAACCCCACATGCAACACCATCCATCAACGCAGAGGCAACTTCCACGACTCCAAAGTGCGGCCGGCACCACAATGGAAAAGCTGCGCAATCACGACTCTCTCAGCATCTGTCACGTAAGGTATCGCTCCTTGAATAGAGCCTTGTGGAAGAACACGCCCGCAGCACCGGGGTTTTGTCGTATGAAACGTCCGCGGGTGGGTGCTTGCCGACTCGTCGACATTCAGCAGGGAGATGGCTTCACGCACTAACCGGTAGATGTCAAAGTACGTGACTTCTTCATGACTGAAGTGCAGCTGAAATTCACGCTCATGGAAGAGGACTGCAAGTTCATTAAAAGAAAAATCCTGCTGGCAGTCAACTCTCCACAACAAGCTTCGCAAAAAGCTGCAGCGTGTGACCCAATTCTGAGCGGAGGTAGACCAACGCTTCGGGCAGGGAATCCCAATAGGGATTTTTGGCTTCCATGTGAACTGGGAAGCAGGGAGGCTCCACAACCATTGTGGGAAGCGAGCCCGGCAAGCCTTCTCATCAGGCATCTCATTGACCTCGTCAGTCTTGGGAACAGCAGCTCGGTCAGGTTGTTCCGTTGGCAGTAGGGTGTGCAGGTCGACCAACCACTGCTGGTGTGCTGTAATCGCTCGCCCAACTTTGCTTTGAACACTGCTGTAGACAGGCGCAGTTCGATTCGCAAGTTCACGAGCGGCAGCATCAACTAACCTGTTGTGATGTATATGCTCAACAGTCGTCTTTTTGAGGGCTGCGAGATCTTCCGACAAGAGCTCGATAGGAATATTCTCAAAACAATGGGCCGGGATCCAGTGCACTCGAAATGGGCAGGGAGTCACCGCCTGCCTCAATCGGACAACATGGGCCAGAAAGGTCCACCAAGAGAAAAATTTCCACTGTCGCGACGGTTGTTCACCCTGGAAAATAAGGGTGGCTTGTTCCACAACACTCGAGCAATCGCTGTAAATCTGTGTGACAAATTGTGCACGGGCACATGCCACAATGATCGCCCACAACTCCGCTCCATATGCCGAGACATTCCAATGCTGCACTATGCCTTGATGTCGTATCTGCCGTGTCTCATCGAGGACAGCATAGGTGGCATGAGTGAGCCAGAAGATCTGAGGATGAACGACTGACCCATCAGTCCACAGTCGCTCAACATGTGCCCCGGAAAAGAAGGGGGCTAGGCCAATAGTGGCGACATCCGACATCTGTAGTCTTTTCCTGGCCAGGCAAGCCGGGTGTTGTACGTGACCAAGAGTAGCAAAATTGCTCCCAAACTCATGCAGCACCGGAGGTCCCAGAATATCATGAACTGCTGAACACTGAAGCAAATGTGGCATGCTCTCTTTCGCATTGTCGCAAAAGCGGCAATCGGCCGAAGTGACCCAACCTGACGAGGCAAGGCGGTCGTTTGTGGTGTACAACCAACTAGGATATTTTCCAGGCGAAAAAATCGATCTCTGTTGGAGGGCTCAGTCCACTTGCAAGAACGCAGCAACATGGTGGTTTGCTGAAAATCGAAAATGCCGCTTGGTTTATTGAAGTCCTTCCTGGACTTGGGGTCAATGGAATTTTAGCAGGCATTACGCACGATATTCTGCAGAGCTTTAGAGATGCATCTAGGCGAAAAGGAAAAGAGGGGAACAAAATGAGAGCCCAAAAAGGAAATGTTCAAAATGTTCGTCATATTGAATGCCTAACACATCAAAAGCAGCTTGGAGGCTGTTGGCAAGGGAATGATTCCCTTTGGAGTTCACCCAAGTTCCAAGAAGCTGGTCAGCTGCGGTAGTGTTGTTCCAGCATAGCCGAACTGTTTCGAGAATCGTGAGATAGGGGCCCGCAAAGCGGGGGTCCGTCCGGTGTGGCTGGGAAAGAATGCACTGCAACAAATGTTTCGACCTCCACATAGGCTGTCCGGTCCAGAGCGCTTTTGCAATGGAGTTCTGCAAGAGCCGCAGGGCTTGTTTTGGCACTTTTGAGATGTGAGCACCAAAGGTGACTTGGGGTATAATCTTGGCTCCAATCAAAAAGGCTTTGGTAGCCCGACCAACGGGAAGAGCTGCTATATTGTCGATGTCGGCCAAGACTTTCTTGAGCTTCTTGTCAGGGAACTGAAAGTGGGAGCGTTCAGATGTGTAGATCTTTGTACCTAACACATCGAGCTCAAGAACGACCGGAAACCCAGGAAAAGTGGATTTGATGTGTTTACGAGCTTGTGCTGAGGTACCCCACATGGAGGATTTGGCCTCATTGAGTTGCTGACCGCTAAGGAGGTCCCAGATTTTTGTAAGCTCGATCGCTTTCGAAAGGGTGGCAGCATGCTGGAGTCTACACCATAAATATGAGTCGTCGATATATGCTCGAACAAATATTTCCGGCAAGTGCTCGATCAAATGACACCAGACCTTGTTGTAGACGTTGATAGCTAAGAGAGACATAGAACAGCCCTGGCAAACCCCGTTTGCAGCCGTCGTGGCTTGGTTGGAAATCCAATTGCGGTAAGAAAGATGCCTGTGCAGGCCATCATAGATTTTAACGAAAAAGGAGACAACCCTTTGGGGAATGCCGAAGGCAAGGAAAAGCGCGGCCACAAAATTGGGGACGACACGGTCAAATGCCTTGGCTTTATCAAGTTTGATACCAATCAAGGTGTCACCCTCGATATTGGCGGCATCAATGTCTAACCTGACCTGGTTATAGAGATCGGACATGAATCTCCCTTTAATACCACCTAGAATAGATGGAGGCATGACCTGTTGTTGCCATTGTTGGAGTTGTGCGAACATAGCTCCCGTGTAGGCCAACAGAATAGCTGGGAGAATGGTAATCAGTCTCTTGTTCATGGCCGTGGTTGGCCCAGGTTTATTAAGGATGACTTGCTTCGCGCAAACAAGCGACGCAGGTAGTTCAAGGTTGGACTCCTCAATCAAGGCAAAGAAGTCTGCGCACGGTTGCAGCTCGGCAGGAGTCAAGTGCTGATGCTCGGTGGTTCGCCACCCATCAAGGCCCGGCGCGGCCGTGGTCTTACGCTTTTGAATAATTTGGAACAAATCCTTTCCAGAGATCATGGGCACGTTCGCAGGGACTTGCTGATCTTGAATGTACGGCCACACAGTTTCCAACATCTTGAGGGGATGGTGCAAAAGCACATTAGCACTATAAACCTGATCCCACTCAGAGTTAAGGAAGGAAATGGCTTCATTTGGCTGAAACAAGATGTTCTGATCGTGGTCAACGACGAGGTTGGCAGGTTCCTCTTGCTGTTTGTTCTTTAAATGGTGAAAAATGTAGGCACAGCCGTGTGTGGCTGACGAACGAATTCGTTGTTTCCAACGTTTGATCCTGGACATCTTCAGCTGAAGTTCATGCGTTTTCGAAGCACTAATGACCCACTGCTTGGCGAAATGCACCTGCACCAAAGAGGGAGGGAGGTTCTCGGTCCATTGAACAGGGGCAGCCAAATCACGGAGTTGTTTAAGTGCTTTACCGGCCGTTTGTCTAGTGATGAAAACATCTTGAGCCGAGCCCTCCTGGCGTGAAAGGCGAATGAACAACTCATCAAGTCTACCAGAGAGCCGAGCGAGCAAAATGCCCTTACGACTGGCAGCGCAGTGGCTGGCTAATTGCTTGGGGGCAACAGTTTTGGAAACGAACACCGGAGGTTTGCCGCGTTGGCGAGGGCCCTCCCCCCACGAAGCACCCTTCGCAAGGAGGGAGTGTGTGAGAAAGTCATTAACAACTGCCCACTTGTCATCTGCAGAATTGGCATCATCAAACTGCTGTTTATGGGAAGTCCCCCAGGAGGTCTCACAGGAATCAGGCCCCTCATCATTGAAGGATTCAAAAACAAGGGGTGCAGTCTTGAGAAGATGAAAGCCAACTTGATCAATGGAGGGCCAGTTGAACTCGAGTTTAATGGGTCTATGCTGTTTCCCGAAGACTTCAATAACCTCGGCATGCTTCAACGCAGCAAAAGCAATGTTGTTAACCAAAACAGAGTCAATTGAGGTGCACCCATCACCTGCACCACAAAAGGTGCCATCATTGCTAAAAGTGAGGGGTCTGACAATCTCACCGCTGGAGTCGACCGTGGCGATCGGGTCATGCCATGATTGGAATGAAACTGCAGAAGCGATAGCCGGGTACGACATGGGCGGAGCTTGCAGGTCTCCAGCCAACACAATTGGGATCTGGCCAAATTGGGCGACAAATGTGAAGATGTCATCAAGTAAACAATTGTTACGAACATGAACCTTAGGGTCTTGAGATGCACTAGTAGTGGCGTACACCGAAAGGATGAGAGCCTTTTTCCGGGGTGTAACCTGGGTCCAAGCGGCAACGACTCTTTTAGTTTTGAACATGATGGCATAGAGCCCTGTAGCATCATGAGCTGGATCGAATGCTTGAATCTATGTGGAGCCTCCAGCAATCAACGTGCCCCCGGGGGGGGTCTTGGTAGATTTGGAGCCACTCCATAACCCAGGAAGGAGGTCGCCAAAACAAGGTGTGAACCCAACCCCTTGGAAGGTTTTGGTGGC